AGGTACCATCTACAGTATGTGAATGGGAAGATATTGCTAGGGAATTTGATGAAATGTGGCAATTTCCTCATTGCCTTGGTGCAATAGATGGAAAACATGTACAGATCATATGTCCTAAGCAATCTGGATCTGCTTATTATAACTACAAAGGTAGTATTTCTGTTATTAGTCAATTATTTGAGGTTGTATCCAGTTATTCTGTTTGCTAAAGTTTTATTTTTTCCAAATAAGGAATTTATAGCGTAGTTATGATGGCAATAGTACGTGCAGATCTTTCATTTATATATGTGGATGCAGGCACTAATGGGAGACAGAGCGATTCTTCAATTTGGAATGCATCAAATCTGAAGAAAGCTATTGATGATGGAAAGTTAAACTTTCCACCAGATAGTCCTCTTCAAAGTGGAGGACAGCCAATTCCATATGTATTTGTTACAGATGAAGGAATTGGTATGTCTTCACGAGTAATGAGGCCTTATCCAATGAAACAGTTGACAGCTGAGAAATCCATCTTCAATTATAGGTAAAAGAACTATTTAATATATTAATTATTTAAAACAGTTTATTAGTGTATAAGTCATAAAAACTGTTTAATTTAATTCAAATTGAAATTATTGTTAGATTATCAAGAGCAAGGAGAGTCGTTGAAAATGCATTTGGGGTCCTATCTTCTGTTTGGCGAGTCTTCTCTACGGTGATTTTATTATCCCCAGATAAGGCTGCAAAAATCATCCTAACATGTTGTGTTCTTCATAACATGTTACGGGAAAGAAAAATAAAATCTTATCTCACAGCTACTACCAGTGCCAACTTTGAAGAGCAACATCAACAGTTTACACCTTTGGAAAACAGTCGAAATTTAAATCCATCAACAACAGCAGCAAAAGCAATTCGCGATGAATTGAAAACATATTTTAATACTGTAGGCCAAGTAGAATGGCAATGAGATGTAAAATTATTAAATAATAAATATGAAATGTAAAATTATTTTAAAAAGTTTGGAATTATAATTACAAGTCTTCATTATAAATGATATACTATTTTGAGTTAAGAAATACAACTTTGATACAATAAGTGAAAAATGTTTATTAATTTAAGAACTATTTACAATATATTTTTCTTCCTCTACAAGGAGAGAAAATATTTTAAGTTGCAAGTCCAAGGCATTTTCCTTGGGAAGGGTTCTTAGTTTGGCAGCTATAAGGCTGCCAAATTCGTCAAAAGCATCCTTCCTCGGTTCATTACAGAGAGCCTGAAAAAATATTTAATAAACAATCTTAAATGAAAAGGAAGACATCTTATATTATTTAATAATCATCTTTGTATTTGTGCAATATTTATAATATCAGTTACTAAAGTGAACACTTACTCAATAATTTTGAGTTTTTTAGTTGTTCACTCTGAGCTGTAAACTATAAATAAATAAATTATACATTTTGAAATAACTTACATTCATTGCACATTCATAAAAATTTTCTTTCTCCTTTCCTTCCATCTTTCTTTTCTTCTTTGGTGGCTGTGCATCAAATGTACATGGTGACAATGAAATACTTTCATTAAACATTTCATCATCATCATGTACATCTATATTTGTTTCTTCTGCCTCATTATATGTGCAGCCAAAAGTGGATTGTTGTGCTTGATTTAACTATAAATAAAAATAGGCTATATTTAATTAATTTTTACCTACTTTAATATATAAAATATATATAACTTATATAATTACATCGTATGACGACAGCGGTGATATCGTTTTCTTGTATGAGTTTAGAAGAAAACTCAGGGACGACCAATGTTCCCACGTTGGTTTATACACCTCGTGTTCTCCACATCCACTTCGTCTGCTGTCATCTACTTTTTTTTAATTCTAAGAAACGTCGTTCTTAGATGATGATATTTTTTACTTAGTTCTTTAGCTATATTTAAAACAATATTGTCGTTACCAAACTAAAAACAATCAACATTTTATATCCAGAAATCTAAAAATGGTACTTACGATCAATGCCGAGACTTTCACTTATCTCACGCCATGCCTGCGCCCTTTTATCTTTTCTTCGATATAATGAAGAATTAAAGTCCCACAGGCATTCGTAAGACTGTATAATCTCGATCAATCTGGATTCTAAACACGTATCCATATTCTTGTTATCCGCCATGATAATGAACTATTTTCATTGTTGCCACCGTATGACGTGGCTCAAAGGCGTTTGCTGATTGGATGCGCGTTTGCAACCGTCGCGAGTAGAACAAACTTTTTGTTTCTACTTGAGGTTGCAGTCGCGCCGGTTTTCGAGGGGGGATTACTAGTTAACGGGAACAGCCGTCGCGGTTGCAGTCGCCTGCGCGGCTAGAAATCGCATAGTGTGACCAGGGCTTAATGAACTTCATAAAACTTTGTGGGAATCGTAAAATTTCCAACTCGCTGATTCATAAGAAAAACAAGATACAATGTCATATAAATAAAAAATAAATTTTATTTAAGGAAAATCTTTTGTAAAATTTACTAGTTTGTTTTCTTTTTATTTTTTTCAGAGGTGCCAGAGTACCTTTGCCTCTTTCTGGGGAGGGCCACTGCTAACTGTAAAGTATAAATATCAATATCCTTAGCGTTATTTTAGAGTTACTCGGGACATTCTATGTGAATCTCGAGCCTCCTAATAAATTTTGATTTTTTAATGGAACCTCCACCATTTGTTTTTCTTTTTCCCTGTGAGCAGCAACAGAACCTTTTCTTTCATGCCTAACGTAGGTTTGGTCAGGTCCACAATGGAGCCGTCGGGTGGTGTGGAAAAATGCCCGATATATAATATTCGAAACAGACCACTCTCGAAAAATGTTCCGAAGTTGTTCACCCGGATTCGATTACGAGTCTTCCAATAGGTTCTGATACCTTCACTGCCTCTGCTGTTTGCCGTGGGTTACAGGGCAGAGTCTGGATACTCAAAGGACGCAACAAGGTTGTTGTAAATTATAAACGTATCTCACCATAGCTGTAAAAATTTAAACATGTTAAACTTAGTAGATTGTCCGTCATTTGTTTTCTAACTAATTTGTTTCAGGACTAGGTGTCCACACGGAAATTTACTTTTCAGTCACTCTCATTGAACTGGAAAAATTTGTGTCTTTATTACATCTAGGGGAGACCGGGGCAAGATCAGCATGTTAAGCTTTACTTAAATTTTGTGTAATAAATACTGCTGTAAACTGATAAAAGAAAGCTTTGTATATTGTCTATTGGAATGTTTTCTTACTATAGAACTGGTTAAAATCAGTTTGGAAATGAAAATAATTAAAATAATTACAACTTTACAAGAAGAGAGAAATTGACGAAGTTGCCCCGGGTATAGGGGCAAGATCGGCAACTTCTCTCTTTTTGTAAAGTTGTAATTATTTTAATTATTTTTATTAAAGTTGCCCCTGGTATAGGGGCAACAGTAATGGGGCAAGATAGGCACGTATATAAAATTATGTTATTAACAATGTATAAGTTGGAATTCACTATTAAAACAAAGAAATACAAATCCAACACCCATTTAATATTATTACAACGAAATGCAAGTTCAAAGACATATATACATGAATAACAAATGCAAACATGTTTTCATTTATCATCTGTTTGATTTTTATCCTTTGCTTCTAATGTGGCTTTATGTTGCCGATCTTACCCCGCTAGTCATGATTTCGAAACATTAAGTACAACCCTGAGAACAGAATGCCAAGCCACGATCTGGCCACGTGAATAAGTTGAAGTTACATCCTTCTAACAGGAAAAGTAACTTTCGTTATCATGGAATTATAACAAAACCTGCCAATTCAATATAAATGGAAAAAAAATATTATATGGAATTGAACGAAAATGAAAATTTGCTTGATAATTCAACTACGCTTGTTGGAGAACAATAAAAACACTACACTCAACAAGCCACCAATAAAACTCAACTGCCTAACCTATAACCAAAGTCTCCTTTTAATTTGTTTTTTAAAAAAAGCGCTTGACAAACTTGCCCCGCATGCCGAAGTTGCCCCGGTCTCCCCTAATATTATAAAGAAATCAGTCCCCACTGTACTCGACTAGAGATTGGTTCAGTTAAGCTTTTAAGTAAAATTCCAGCTCTTTCAGCAGGGTTTTATGTCCCCAATTCCCTAATCTCTTAATTATTTATCTATTTCGTAAGTAGAAATAAGTCGAAATCAGTTACTTTGCACTTGAATACTTGTAGTCTCGGGGAAAAAGTGGAAAGACAAATTTTTATGACAACGATACATAAATCGCAAATTTAAGGAAAGTAAATTCTAGAGCTTTTCTTCTACCTTAACTGTATATATAACAACTAACTTGTGTCCTGTACTTATCTGTATGACAAGTAATTCAAAAAGTTAATTTTAGAGCAATAAAATTAATTAAAACTGATTTATTAGTGAATTTACTAATAAAGAATAAAATATATTATTTTTATTAATATATATTANAATATATTTTAATTGAATTATTTATCTAGTGTTCATTCTAAATTATATCACATATATACATATACAATACCATATCATAATATACAATATCATAACATGTGCCTCAAAATACATTGCAAAATGTACAGCATTGTAAATTTTTAATAAAACCACTTCAAACTCCCGACACGATCAAAAAATCAAGTCAAAATAGCATTGGTCTATCAGTAAAACCATTGAATACAGTTGGTCATGGATTCTCGCCTCGCCAACCGACTGGCACGTGGAATTTTCCGTGTTTTCTTTACACGTGAGAGGCATACCCCTTCGGCGGAACGCCCACGTGTCGCGTTGTCGATAAACAAACCAAACCTAAACTGTAAAATCTTAAGTTAAGTTAAAAATATAAAATTGTGGTGACGCCATCTGTTACGATATTATTTTAAAAATTATCGGATGTAAAAAAAGCAGTATTAACTGTTGACTGTAATTAAGAGGTGAGGGTGCAGTTGCTAATATAGCCTACGTTTAGAATGCTTCTAATTATATCTGTAAAAACATTTTCCCGTTTTTAATTTTATTTTGTAACAGTAAAGTTTAATTTTAATTCGACTCGTCGACTTAAAAGAAAGTTTAAAAAAGTTTATTTTGTTTTAAAGTAACCCGGTGGTGTCCTTCGTTACCCTGAAGTGACACGATGTCAAAGTGTTCAAACATATCATCGATATTGATCACAGATTGGTCAACTATTTATCACCTGAATTCGACGAATACATGTTACCTCTTTTAATTTGTTGGTGACTTATACTTACATAACAAGGCAAACGCATAATATGAAGATAGATATTGAAGAGAAATCATGGATTTCAGGTAATGCCGTTTAACTCTTTCCCTATGGTCACCAAGACCATAATGGGTTAAGCCAAGCTCACAATCGGTGGTAACGGATGGGGCCCGACATATCTTATTCTTGGAGTTTTATGAATTTATGACCAGTTCGAATTCGATTCCGGGTCTCCAGAGTGATAAGCTGCTACCTGAACCGCTTTACCATTCGGCTGTCGGCGATATGTTTTCTATTTTTTAAGAATAAATTATAAAAAAAATTACTTAAATATTTGTGAAGTATCTTGAATAGCATAATTAATGAAAAAAACTAGTTTCAGAATCGTGGTGTTACGGTGCAAATAAATAAAATGTGGACTCCTCCAAATGTTATCTGAATGTTGCTTATACAGTCTGTCTATAACGGAACCTCAAGGGACCGAACAACTCTTCCGTAGTAGTCAGGTTTTCGCTATGTACAGGTTACCTACTATAGGTATACATTGATTAAAACGCATGTATAATATGCCCGATGTGCATTTTATCTGCAGACATTTCGACTTGATTTTATTCAAACGAAAAGTAATGTAAAAACAATTCAAATGAGTGTCAAAACAAAAAATACAATCTCACATCAGAAATAATGTGTTAAATTTCGCAACTTGTAATTCAGGTAAAATCAGGCAAAATACCAAATTTAAGGGAGGGCGTAAATTAATTAAATACTTTTTCAGCATTAATGATCGTAAAGTTTCTCGATCGGAAGCTAGAATCGCGCAATAATTTGAAATTATTAACCGATTACTCGCCATTAATTAGAAGATTTGACGAATTTAATGAGGGGAACTCGTCGAATTCACGTGTTAGATAGTTGTCCAATCAGTGACCAATATCGATAATATGTTTGAGCAGTTTGACATCGTGTCACTTCAGGGTAACGAAGGACACCACTGGGTTACTTTAAAACATAATAACCTCTTTAAACTTTTTTTTAAGTAGACAAGTCGAATTAATATTAAAGTTTACTATTACAAAATAAAATTAAAAACGGAATAAAAGTGGGAAAATGTTTTTACAGATATA